TCTGGTCCCTGTAGCTCACCCACACCACTTGCACACACACGCAAATTTTCCCATTCAAAGTTATGTGACACAGGTGTGTGGCCACTCAGTAAGGCTGAAATTTGTGTTACAAACTGCCTCTTGGCTGGCTCTAGGACACCAGGCCAGACCTCTTGTGACTTCTGTTAGTCCGAGATGCACCCCATACAGCAGTGCCGTTTCTCTCTTGGGTAAACATCACCCACTCATTTATGTTCATTCATATATGCTGGTCTAAGCAATTTAGTAACACCAAATAAGAAGTTTCTACAACACCTCTCACTAATGAACCATAGCATCCAATAGAATAAATGGAAAAGCTTTGAGAGAATTAATTCTATCTGCAAGATCACCCAGCACAATAACCAGGAGCAAAACTTTGTTTTACTGAATAAATTCAGTCCAATTTTCTCTGTTACACACACTCCTGTTCTGCTTCTGTTAATTTCTACCTCGGTCGCTTATTAAGGAGAAATCCCTCTTCCTACTCATAAATCACAAGTAGAATCTCATGGTTTCAATAAATTCTGTCGTATCTTTTTTTCCCCCCTCAGCAGTGGTATGTCTGGATTTCATGCAGATAGAACACTTTAACCTCCCCACTTCTGACAACAGAACAGTCAGTTACCTTGCTGACCCAGATCACATAATCCTGAATCAATTTTATTCATCTGTTTAGGGAAGAACATCTATTAGGCATGTTATCCCAAATCTAACCAAAGCCCAAGGTTTGCATAATAGGTCATTCTGACAGGACTCCATTATGCTACCATAAATAAATTAAGGGATCTCTCTATTCTTAGCAATGAGACAAGAATCTTTTCTCTCTACAGACTGTGAAGTCTTCAGCACAAGAATAGCTTTTTATGAAGTTACTGAGCAATTAGGTTGTGCAAAACCAGATCCGTTTCAAGTTCTAGGGTTGTTTCAGTCAGACACTAGCCAGTCACAGGTAGGTATCTTTTGGATGTGCACCTAAACTCTGGCACTTTGTGCTATTGCAGCACTTTGTGGTTATTGCACCTTCTCAGTATTTAAAGGGGGCCTACGAGAAAGATGGGGACAAACTCTGTAGCAGGACCTGTAGTGACAGGACAAAGCATAATGGTTTTAAACTAAAAGAGGGTAGATTTAGACTAGACTTACATATAGATAAGACATAAGGAAGAATATTTCTACAACGAGGATGGTGAAGCACTGGCACAGGTTGCCCAGAGAGGTGATTAACACCCCATCCATGAAAACATTCAGTGCCAGGTTGGATGGGGCTCTGAGCAACCTGGTCAAGTTGAAGATGTCCTGCCCATGCCAAGTGGGGGGACTAGATGACCTTTAATTTTCCTTCCAACTCAAATTATTCTATGATTTTATGGTTGTGTTCCCTTCACCTGGCACAGGTTCACAAGTTATGGTCAGGGACACTTCTTGTGAAATCACACTTTCAGATTTTTTCTCCATCACTGATATCAGGCCTACTATTGATTACGATTCCAAATAATGCATTTAAAATTTAAAAAACCCAGAACCCAAAATCTGCAGCAGGTCAGCACCATGAGTTTTGCAGAACCTTTGTGTGTATGTTCTACAAAGAACAATTTCTCTTTTACTTTGTTTTCTGTCAGAGTGTCTTTAATTATTTGCAGAGAATGCAATTCTACATCTGTTATTTATGCAAACAGTCCTGCTTATTTAGACAAGCCTCCTTTTGTGACTAAAGACACAGAAGTTCATTCTTGCATCTTGAGGAAACATTCGCAAGCTTTTGTTCCAGTGGAACATCTCTTAATATTCATGTGATGGCCATGAGCAATAAAGATTTTCTGCATCTTTTTTCCTCGTGTGCTGCAGACACAGATCTGAAACCATTCTGGCAAGTTTCCTATTAGTGGGACCCCATGACATTTACTGAGGGTCTACATAGAAAAATCTTAGGGTTTTTTTCCCCCTTGACTTTTATTTTTATACAAAACCCGGTGTACTCTCAGGACACTACAAACACATACAACAAACCACTGCTCCTACATAAACTCTGGCAAATAGACTGATATCAGGCTGTTACCAATGAAATAAATTGCAAAACCATTCTGATAGTTCTGATATTCTGCTCCAAGGCTCAACAGCACCTGTGGCAACACTTGAACTCATTTGACCATGTTCTGCATCAAAATATAAGGCTGTTGGGACACCAGTGATGTTGATGTCTGTACAGCTGGAACCATGGGAGTACACTCCTCTAGGTTTCCTGGTAACACAAAGTGTCTTCCTTGACTAGAAAGTAATGCTAGTGAGCAATTGCTTTTCTATTCTGTACTTTTGCTTGAGGAAACAGTGAGTGCTGTCTTACTGTATCTTTGTTTTTTCCTTGTCTGTGCCTGTTCTCATCATTTCTTTAAGCTCTTTAAGCTGAAGAGGTAGCATGGGCAACAGAGTGTAGCCAAGGGAATAAAAAGTTTTTCATGCAGTGTCCATGTTCCTTGACTTAATGTATTGTTTTAAACTGCCCTATAACTGAAAGAGTATACTTGCCATATTTGACCAAAAGTTTGATAAATGTTCTTAGTTGTGGTAGATTAAAAAAAAAAAAATAAAACAACCCTGAAACATGAAAAATAAACTATAAAGCTGTAACACAAGTAAATTGGGTCAAATCAATCTAAGTAAGAACCAGAAGGTCTTTGGAATAATTTGGTAGTAGGGCATTCTGACAAGTTGTTAAATGTTTTAATTCTTCATCTCTCATTACTGCTAATTTTGTTTATATCATGCCTATATGACTGTGACATCAAAATTCTTCAGAAATTTAATATCAAATAATTAGTATTACTGCTACCCCATTTGTTTCAAATGAAGCAAATTTATACCAATTCCTGACTTTCTCTGACACAGTGCTAAGTCCAAAAGTGAGATATTCTGTCCTGTGTTCCTTCTGTCAAACATATTTGTTAACTTCAGGAGAAAGTTAGAGAAATAGAGGTTTGAAGGTCAAACTGGTATCATATGGCTTTGCTAAATATAGATGCTTGACGAGCAAAAGAGCTTCACAGGTCTTGGCATATTTTGCTTGGTGCACTTCTACCTCTGCACATATGCAGGCAGGCAACTTCTCTCAGACCATATCAGAAAGATGAACATTAATAAAATAAAAAATATCTAGGCAGGAGTTACAAATGTATCCCTTCTGATTTTCTGAAGGCAGAAGTGGAGCAGGATATGCCTAATCTGCAATATTTTCACTCTCATTTCACAAGTCTGTCACTGATGGATACTCTCAGCAGACGAAGCACAGCATTTTAATATTCTCCTAACCTGTATGCAGCACTGGAAAGAATCTGTTTTTGTTAAAAAAATCCTTCTCCATAAAATGACATTGCAGTGTGTGCAATATTGCACAAGCAGGAAAACATGATTAAACAATAAAAATGTGCTAAGTGTGAATGAAATAGAAGAGGAATCTGTAAAGAGCTCCTTTCACCTATTTTCCCTGCCTAAAAGCAATTTCCATTGACAAATATGGCTTTGAAAGGAACTGTCTGTGCTTGTACATTTCTTGTTGCAATCCTGTCCTGGGATCCTGGGACCTATAATGCAATATGTGCTGTCAGGACTACGACAGTTTACAGATGTGCAGCCAGACTTCTTGCTATTTATAGATGCCTCTTCTGCAAGCAGTACTCTATGGGGTTGTAGCGCAGTAGCAGGCATGTTCTTTGATTTAGTGCTTACATCACATTCATTTAAGAAAATTTGGCTCTTCACCTGGCATGGCAAAGGAGGCAGATATATGAAGGTCAAGCAGAGGGAACACTATTGTGAAGAGAAATGTGGATGGAATTCATGAGCGAGCAGGACACCTACTGGGAGGACTAACTGAAAGAAGGAGACATTAGGCTGAGATGTGGAAATAATAAAGAATGGAATGGTCATGTGTTCACAGTAGGTTTTGCTCTTTATTCCCTCTGCGGGGTAACTGGGGAGAAGGTTCAGTGCTGCCCCTGCAAGGGCAAAGCTGTGAAGTTGTTTGGGGTGCAGTGTCCATGGGGTCTGTACATGGCTGTGCTGCATCTTGCTAAAGCATGTGTTAAGTGTTCAGTCAGAGTGCTAGGCACAGTCTATTAATAGAAACAGCGAGTTTGGCACACGCTCACACTTTCGCCTGTCTCCTTCTCACATGCTCGCAGAGATGCTGGGACTGCATCCTGCATCCTTCTGCTTTTCCAGACCTGAGACTTCGCACACTGCTGTATCCCCTGAGAAGTCTCAGTGAGGTCAAGACAGCCCCAGACAAGTAAACAGGGGCTGCTCAACCCCAATGTTGAGGAAGCAGAAGGTAACGGGTGGGGGAGCGGCGGGAGGGGGTGGATTTCTTGCAGAAAACCTGAGCCCTCGCAGGGTACCCTCCCGGCCCGAAGGCAGTGCAAAGCTATTTTCGGCACTGCCCAGGCCAGCCGGACAGCCCCCACCTCGGGCAGCTCCGCTCTGCCAATATCCAGCATGCTGCAGAGACACGGATGCCCCTAAAGTGGCTCGAAACGATCCCAGCCAAGGCTGCCGGTGGAAAGCACGGGGAGCTGGCCAAGGTGCTGCCGCAAGAGACGGTCCGTCCCTTTTCGGCGTGTCCAACACCCGAATTCCCGGCGCCCGCCCCCCGCTGCCCCCCGAGCCGACATCCCGCGGAGCCTCCGCTCCGCACGGACACCCAACTTCCCGGGAAGCGGCCGCGGAGCGCCGGCCCCGGGCAGCCCCCAGAGCCTGGAGGGCTCGGCCCGGGCAAACTTCTGTGCCTACGGGGAACGGAGGGATCCGGGGGAGAGGGAAGTGGGGGGGAGAGGGGGGGCGAATGCAGGAAACCACAGCACACGGCAGGCAGGAGCTGGCCGGAGCGGCCGGGAAAGTTGTTCTGCACTTCCTGCTGCTTGTGCCCAGGGTTCAGTGCTCGGCTCTGGGGGAGCGCGGCGCCGGCTCCGGCTCGCATCCGTACTCACCTCGGTGCTGTCGGCAGCGTTCTCCGCCATTTTCCTCCTTAGGAGCAGGCAGCGGGAGGAGTGTTTCATTCCCATAAGAGCTAGCCAAGGGGTTGGGGCTTCGGGGCTGGTGTTTTGGTTTGTGTTTTCAAAGATCTCCAAACACTGGTGTGCGCCAAAGGACAGGGAGATAAAAAAAAAAATATGGAAAACAGCAATAAATCAGTCAGCTTTGTCCTTTCTGCGTCGTCCACAGGAATGTTTGTCTCCTCTTAGCATCGGGAGCTCCTCAGGCACTTTCAAGTCCTCCTCTTTCTCCCCTCTCCTCCACCTCCAGCGAGTTCTTGGGGTGGGCAGAGAGAGGCGGCACACACTCTTCAGGTTAAACTAAAAGGCTGTCGGGCTATGAGTCCTCCCCTTCAGAGAAAGCAGTCAGGCTAAACAGGAGAGAAGCACCAGCTAAGCTGAACTTGGGCGTGCAGTGACCAGCTGGGCATCTTTGTGTCCTGTGGCTACTCTTCCAGAGGCAGAGGGAGCCAGAGACAAAGCAACAGGACAAGGAAATCATAGCCCTTTATTTTCCTTCTTTGGGCTTCTTTCTTTCTCTCTATGTCCCAGGACACTTCCTTTAAAGACGGTCACAGAATTTGCCACCCTCTTTCTATGAATGTCTTCTGAAATAGAAATCCCTTCTCCTCCTCCTTCTCCTTCTCCCTCCCTCCTCCCCCAGATCTCCTTCCCTCTCCTTTTCCCTTCCCTCTCCTCTTCCCTTCCTTCTCTTCTCCCTTTCCCTCTCCCTACCCCTTCTGCTCTTGGGCAGAGCTTGGTGCCCCTCACTGGGAATTGCATTCACGTGTCTTTCGTAGGGAAAAAAAATAAAAAATAAAATTTCAAGCTCCCCCCACCCGTCGCCTACACCCTCTCACACACAAGCACGCATTCACACGTACGCACACACGCGTTGTCTCCCTCTCACACAGACATGCACAATTTTTTTTCTCTTCCCCATCCCTCCTCTTCTTTTGAATCAGCAACACTTTTCTTTGCAAGGACTCTCGGCAAGGCTCTTAGAGAGCAACCGAAGAAGTCTGCTCCAGCTTCTTTCCTCCGAGTTAAGTAGCAAACCTGCTTTCTTAATATATCTTCTGGTGTGTGTGTTCTCCCAGCTCCTGTTTTACTTGAAGTTTTTCAGGAGGATCCACGCTCCGTCAGAGAGCCGTGAACTGTAGGGATACAGTCCCGATCCGGCTGCAGCTCCTGCTGAAAAGGGGGGAGGAGGAGCTGGGGGGAGGAGAGGGGAAGAGGCGGAGGGAGAGGTCTCGCTGGGGAGGGAAGGGAAGAGGCTAAAGGTGATTTGAACTTGTTTTTAGCCTTTTCCTAATGACATCTTCCTCTGTAGGAGTGCATCGCCACCTTCCCCACACGTTTATTTTGCTTTCACTCCTCCGGGCACTTTCTAGTTCTGAGTTGTCAGCTGGGAGGATTGGGTTTACCTCACTCGTGTTGCTGTGGGTAAGGGCGGGAGAGGGGGCGTATTACATAATTAATCCTTCCAACTTCACTTTCCGCAGCTCCATCTCCAGCCCACTGTTCTCACGTTTCTGTTTTGTTTTTATACGGAGGAGGTGAGAAAATAATGCTGGTGTGTGGGTGTGTGTTGCTCGAAGGATTTCAAGGACCAGAACAGGATTGCTGCTCTCTGAACAGTTTGAAATTATTTCCTCTGGGGGTGCCAATGGAGACCTGAAGAAGAGGTTTGAAAGATTATTTTTGATGCATATTTTAAGGACGTAGCCAGCTCAGATTCTTCATCAGTAACAGATTTTGATAGATTTGGGGTTTTGAATTTTTGTCCCTTGCAGCCTATTTTAATACCTTTCAATTAGAGTTTATCCTCAGCTGACCTCTGGAATAGTGACATACCATGAAGTACTGCCAAAAACCAGGAGGTCCCTGGGCACACAGGAGGTGGAAATATTCCTGGGGGTGGGGGAATGGAAATAGAGTATATGAATTAGAGAGTAGAGAGCAAAACTATTCTCATGCCCCATGGGGATGAGGAGGTGGGGCCAAGAAAATTAAAGAGGCGAATTTCTCCTTTTTACTTGAATGACCCTCACAAATTCTTGCTCAGGAACAGATCGGTAGGTATACATTAGATTCCAGGAATTTGTAATAATCAGCAATAAGGAAGAAACCTAGGGAAGCAGAAGGTGTGTGCTATGCTGAAATGTCAAGTGGCAATGAGAATATGCCACGTAGGGCACAATGGTACCATATGAAGCGGTTTCAGAATATGAGAATGTGTTTTAGACACACGTTCCGTACAGACTGAAACTGGACCTCTGTTTCAGTGTCTGTGACACTTTGCAGAGCCATTTGATCACTCAGTCTTTCAAAAGCTTCTGATTTGCCCCCATTCCTTTCATCTCACGTTTATTTTGACACCTCAAGTTCTTTCATTAGCTCCACATCACTGCTAATTTTTTCAGTAATCATCCACACCTCCTGTGTTTGTATAGTAGAATTTAATTTCACACCTTCTAGGCATGAGACTTAAGTAATGACAGAGGTGGAAGCGGTTCATCTCCTCTTTTCTTTGTGACATTCATAGAGCTTTTGAAGGTCTTAAAACCCTTCAAATATGAAAACATCTGTAGTCATTGCCAAGTGTTCCAAAGCTACTCTCATAATCTTGGGCTATGGGTTTCTTTCTCACCAAATACTTCAATCTCTAGGGGAAGGGGTAAGGGGAAAAAATATTCTGCAGATAAAAATTTAGTGTGTCTGCAATCTTTGTCACAATGTTTTTCTCTGCTATGGCATGAGTATCTGGTGGTTGAGTGCATGAAGTTTTAGTCAGCATACATTTGGACTAACCTGCATAGTTTTAGTGTCTTTTCTATTTTCAGGTGATACACACAGCTAAACTTAGCCTAATTAAACATTTTAAAATAAACCAGTGTTCTATATAGAGGAAAAGAATTTGATTTTGAAAAACTACTCCAGAACATATTTTCCAGTTTTCTCTGACAGCTGGTTTGTATTTCTGGTACAGCTCAATCACTCTTTAGTCAGCTAAATGAGGCATCAGATTTTCAAAAGCACTCGGCAACTAGCAAAGTTGGCAGGCAGAGATTTAATATATCCTTCTCTCCTATGCTTCAGATACTGCATGACTTACCCTGGCACCTATTCTTGTCCTCCTCCACCTCTTTGTCAACACAGATGATACCTGACTGCTCATCCTTGAACATGGTGCTGATGTTTTACAGATACTGGGAAAGCCTTCCAGTCTCTTAGTTTCCAGCATAAGCATGAATGTTTTGGTCCTGAGCTCCTTTGGAAATCTGCCAGATGGTTGGTGTCTTCACTCCATTTATATTCTATATGTGATTGAGGAAACTGCTTTGAAAACATACACACAGATTTCTCTAATCTGCTTTATTCCAAAGGGAAAGTGACTGGTCCTACTGGAACATTTTTTTTTTAATCAGGTAGAAGATTTTCCTTGTAATAATTTTAAGAGACTCAGAGCAGTTTGTTTGCATACACGGATGTCTGTGAGCACACAAAGACACTTGGCCAGTCCTTCAGTTTGAATATGAGGCTCAGTGCAAGTTCCTGTTGATACTGAAATTCACAGCAACACTGAACTTGAGGAATGTGAGCTTTCATACTCTTTAGGGGACAAATTGTACTCCCATCATATGAATACAAATCCTGCTGACATCACCCATTACCCAAGGGTGATAACTGGTTATTGGAACTATCATGGGAACATTTTTCTGAACCCCTGTTCTGTTAGATCTTGAGGAAAAGAAAACTTGTCACAAAGAAAATGTCATGGTAGTAGAAGTACGTTTGCAGCAAAGCCAGGAGGTGTCAAAAGCATCTTCTGAGTTTAAATATATCATGTGTAAGTACATGTGAAGGTCACCAAGTATTAGGAATTGAGTAGAGTGGTGCTGAAGGGAAAGTGGAAAGGGAAGCATTTATTACTTCAGAATTCCAATAATAGCAGCTGTGGCTGAGGCTGCTGTGCTACTTGCTGAGCGTGGCAATAACACTGTGCTGGCCCTCAGAAGATTCAGACTTATTGCCAGCTTTGTCATTAGCTTGGATGAAACCCAGATATCTGTATTTGAGGTGGGGTAATCCTGTGCATAGGTGCAGACTGAGAAAGTGCAGAGCATCCCTGCTGGAAAGCATCTGGGGGTTATGGGGTGGAGGTGCAGTAGGTTGGGCATGACTCATCGCACACTACTGCTGCATGAAAGGCGAGCTCATCATTCATCTACATCAAATGGAAAGCGGCCAGTGGGGTGAGGGAAGTGTGGTTCTGTCTCTGCTTGGAACTGCTGAGACTACATCACTGATTCTGTGTCCAGGGCTGGGTCCTCTGGTTCAGGAAGGAGGCTGATACATTGCAGATAGCTCAGTGAAAGACTGCTACAATGGTCTCTTAAGAGCTAAGCTCTGAGGAAAGCTGTCAAAAACTGCCTTTTTAAGCCAGTAATGTCTTATGACTAGCTTTGAGGATTGTAGCTAAGATGACCCAAACTCCACTTGGTACAGTCAGATCATTTAAAAATGGGCAACAACAGCATGTCATGCCTTTGGAAGTTCAGATTGAGTATTAGCCAATTCTTGGACTATAAATCCACTTCCTATTTGGATGGCAAAATATCGGGGTGAAAATATATTCCTATTCCAATATCCTCACCAAATTTTTGTTATCTAATCAATTCTGATTTGTTATTGGAAGGATTCTCCTGTAGCATCACTTTGCATTGGTTTTATTGCTCAGGAAGTCACAGTGACTTCCTTTGTCTCAAAAGATACCTTTGGCAATATTTCCAGTCTCTTCATGCACATTTATCCCTACTGTGTCTATCGAAGTTGCCAGTATTTCTGATATTACTCTTATTTCTGAAACTTGCCCATGTTAATTCTGAAGAATTTGAAGTGAATTCTAATTCACACTGCAGATTTAAAGATCTCATTTTATTTATGCTCTTCCTTCCTTGTCTGTTGGTTTTCCTCATTAACTTCATCCCCTATAATTTTCTTATCCTTCTTCATTAACACTGCATATTCCAGCCTTTTCC